ACTAAGCCTCGGTATTGTGTGGTAGGGTGGCCAGTTCCTTTCCACGCCGCCTTTTTTCCTCCCCAGTAGTAAACCACTGGGTACCCATTTATACTCCTGGGTAGAGAGAGACAAACGTAGATAAAATGCCTTGCCCAAGGACACAAGCGACTTGCACAGTGAGAGTTCCGAACCCCTGACCTCAAGGTTGGGAGTCCAAGCCACAACCGATGCGCCAACCGCTTCCACTTGTATACCTATAGGGGTCCTTAAAAAGAATTTTATACAGGAAATCACATCTATCCCTGCAGTGACTTCAATCTGGCCAGCCACTGATTTAAATATTTCAAAAAAAATGATAATCCTTGAAACAGCACAAAAAGCTGCCTACAGTAAAATAATATTGCTTTTTAAAAAACTCCCACTTCATTAAATGTAATATAAAAAATAAAAATGAAATAACTAATTGTCTACAAAAGTCATTAGCTTTTGATAATCAAAACCTGAATAATATCATTCCTATCTAATGTACAAACTTTATACAGTTAAACAGTACCTTTAATTAAATGTAATATAAAAAATAAAAATGAAATGACTAATTTGTCTAATAAAAGTTGTTAGCTTTTGAATCAAAACTTGAATAAATACCATTCCTATCTAATGTACCAACTTTATACAGTAACAGTACCCTTAAATTTCTAGTAGAACAGTAAATTGCCTGTAAATAAATTAAACAACAGAGATACAGTATGTCAGGCATTAACAGTTTATAACATGATTCTCATTATCAACAATTAAACTTTTTACTTAATGTGACACTGACAGTATATCTTTAACATACTGTAGACAACCTGAATGTATTTTCAAAATATGCTAAATCAAAGGTGATCAGAGGCTCCTGATTACTGGATTGAAGAAGTAGTCACAGTATACAATACTTTAGCTTTTGTGTCCAACATTAAAATTGTATTGTGAATCTCTACATTTCAATATAGGCCTACCAATATTTAAATTAAAAACCTCATGAATTCTCAACACTTATTTTTTCAAAATATGACGAACGAATTCCAAAAAAGTTATTTTACCTCTAATACTGTAGCTTATAAATATTTTATTTTTCAGTTGCATGGTGGTTGATTTTTCATTATTATTTCCATTGTTGAAATTCATTTGATATTTGAAATATTGCTCTTGGTTGAAAATGTCTATTGTACTATGGAGGAAAAAATGATTGGACAGTGCACCCTTAATTCGAGACACCTCTAATTCCGAGACTTCTCTAATTCAAGACCACTTTTCCAAAGAACTTAATAAAAACCTTCAAACATATTAACACTAAAGCTAACCCTCTATATGGAGACCGACCCCCATAAAACCACCCCAAATTTCCAGGTACCAAAATTAGTCTTGAATCAGAGGGCGAACTGTATTCTTTTCTATGTATCAAATTTTTCTGTTGTTTGTGTTTTCTGAACCGAACTCATACTTCAAATTTTGGTTTGAAAGTTCATGTTTAATACAATTATGATAATTGGAAGAATTCTAAATTTCATGTTTAATACAATTGTGTTAAATTGGAAGAATTATAAATTCAACAACCTTGAGAAAATTAGAATAAAATGTTTTAGCCATAGTGAAGCAAGAGAAGAGCTATGGAATAATTGGGTAGAAAGATAGAGGGATATGCTCAAAAAATCACTGACATAAAGATAAAGTAATCTTAAATGTAATTTATAGGGAAATAGATCCAGAGAAGAAGCTAACCCTTCCTTCCCTAAGGACAAAACAAGGAAATAAGGGATCCAATGTACAAGGTCACATCCAAATCTAAGCCAAAGGTTAAATAAGAAATGAAAAAAATGTTAAGTGATGATACAGTATGCAATCCATAGGTACAGTAATTCTCTTAATGGATTTTTCTGTCAGGCCAAATAAAAAAAGCAAAATGTTTCTTATATTGGGATTTTCAAAAAGAAAAGGGTGGGCCCATCGGACCTTTTCCTAATTACACACAAACTGCCTATACCATACCACAGCTACTATGGGATAGGCCCATCAGGGGCTGATCCAGGATTTGAAAGTGGGGGGGGGGATTCAAAAAATTTCCAAAAAACCCCAAATTGAAAGGGGATCCTGGGGTTCCCCCAGGAAACTTTATATTCCAAGATGGCTGGAAATGATCTTTCCCAACTTCTGAGGTCTTTTATGACCTTTATTAAATGTCTTCAAAAAAGCTTTTCCCCCTTGAAAAAGGTCAGATAGTTTTATCTCATTCTTAGGCCTATAGATAGAGGAAAAAAAATCAAAGACATAGGCATATTATTATATTCCAACAATATTGAGTAGTTGGATATGTAGTCTTTAATTCTTCTATGGATCGATGAACTGATAGGCCTGAAAAATGTACTTTCGTACGTTAATTAGCAGGACGTCGAAACAAAACTATTAAAAAAAATTGTATTAATAATTGCAGGCTAGTTTGACTAAAGCCTTGTTTGTCCGATCTGCCAACCTACTGTATGCCTAGGTAGTTAAGCATGCATTTTGTAAGCCAGGACCCAGTAGTATTTTGTTACTTTTTTATCACAGCGGGGGATTCATCCAAACCCCCTGAACCTGTCTCTTATACACATCTAAATGTGTATAAGAGACAGCTATGGGATA